TCGGGGTACCCTTGCTTTTTTTTTATAGGGTTTCTTATATATAGGGAGAAAACGTCGTTCTTATGTGCCGACATTTAGCATAAATGTTAGTGTAAACTTTCTATTCTCGAGACCTTAGATAAGCTAGTAGAGAGTACTATTATCGTGTACCACCTCTATCTTGAAAATATGCTGCTTATCCTAGTATGTGCCGACGTACTGTTCCTAAGGCTTAGGCTGCGTGCCTGACTTTTGGCCCTTCTTCAGGTCTTCGACAACTGAGGGATACCATTCGAGATTCTTGGCGACTGCCTTCTCGGCTAGGCTAATAAAGTCATTTTTGAGATCAGAAGTCACGTTGATAAGTTCTTCAATCACAAGCTGCCCTACCCAATCTGCCACGTCATTCAGAGCTAGCGAGTTGGTGAGTACAATGACGGCGCTGTCGAGATCGGGAAGCAATGCTGCCAGGGCGAGGGATCCGGGAAGGCTCCCCTGATGATAAATGACAAGCTGGGAAGTACCTTTGCCAACGAGGGGCATGCCATCGGGCAAAAGGCCTGGGTTCAGCCCAATCTGACCCATGCGGCCAGGAAGCTGCACTCTGGCCCACCCAAAGGCGTAGGCAGATTCGTGCTTTGACGGCTGGTCAATAGCTATCTTAGCTGACGTGATCTGAGGGAGTTGCTTGAGAATGGAGGTTCCCGATGAAGAACCGCCGTTCTCAAATTGACTGTGGATGCCTTGAAGAAAAGCGCCATAAAACTTGGCGAGATCTTCGACGGTAGACCGCAGGCCACCACTGGGAGCTCCATATCCGTTGTCGCCCATACCAAGAAACTTGATCGGAGCAGGGGTTGCATCGTCAAGGGCGTTGTAGTTGATAGTGATGGGATTAAGGTCAGCCGATGGAGTGCTTACTACAGTGCGATCCATTCCAAGAGGTTTGAAGAGGCGATCCTGGACAAAGTCGGCGTAAGACTGGCCGCTTAGATGCTCTATGACGCGCCCCGCAAGCTCATAGTGCAAGTTGTTGTAGCCGAACTGGGCGCGGAAGGGGCACTGGAGGGATTGTTGGTTCACAAACTTGATCAAGTCGTTGCCCGGGAGAAGAACATTGCCGTCTGTGCCAAGGATCAGATTATCGGCCCAGCCCATGCCTGTGCGGTGAGAAAGGATGTCGCCTAGAGTGGTATTTTCCTGTAGCATCGGACTAGTAGATTGGAACGCGGGCAGAACGTCGCGGATTGGGCTGTCCCATGTGGCCTTTTTGCCGTCGACAAGTAGGCCCATGGCAGCAGATGTGACTGCTTTGGCAAGGGAGCAGACAGGAAAGATGGTATCCTGTGTAACCGGGAGCTGTTTATCTACGTCTCGAAAGCCGTAATTGGCGTAGTAAACTGGCTTGTCCAAGCAGACTACGCCGAGAGCGAGGCCAGGCGTTCCGCCGATGGACATGAGTCGCTCGATGGTTGGGCCGAGTCGGGCCAGCCGAGCATGTAGTTCTGCCATGTCTGGTTCGAGATGGACTGGTTTCCGATAGAAAGGCGGTCAGCTGGATTCTTGCTGATATTACGATTCACGCAGGGTCTGGCAGACCGGAAAGAAGCAGAATGGGATAGCAGCGACACTGGGGCGAAACTCACCGAAGGGCAACGAAGGAGAAGACAGCTTCCAAACTCGACGGAGGAGGTTCGCGTTACCGAAGAAGGAGGCGATAATAAGAAAAGCAGCCGTCACGGTCACCAGCTTTGCTCTTTCTCTTTTTTCAATTTTAATTTCTTTAATTATTTTAATTTTTAATTATTAAATTCTTCTTTTTTAACTTTAGTTTTTTTAATTATCTTAGCTTTTTATTTATTAAATATCTTTTCTTTAGTTAACCTTAGTTTTTTTAATTATTTTTAGAAAATATTAAAATTAAAGTTAAATCTTATAATATTAATAATAAAAATATAATATTAAATATTAATTAGGTTAAATATATATATTATAAAATATATTATAACTTTAGTTTTATATAATTATTAAAATTATAAGAACTTTTTATTATCAAAATATTTTTATTACTTTTATAAGACTTTTTAAATATAAAGAGAAAATATTATTTTTATATATTAATAGTTAGAATAAATATTAGGTATATTTTTATTTAATAATACTTTTATCTAGATAAATCTATTAGTCTATATTACTAGTAGTAAAATTACTATTTATTTAACTTTACTCTCTATTTCTCTTAGTTTCTAATTTAACTATACTCTAGTTATATTAGACTAGAGTAGTAGCTTAATATTAGCGCTCTTTATAACTTAAAATCTAATAGTAAATCTATATAAAACATATCTTTTTTATTGCCTGATATAAGGAAATAAGAGAAAGTATCGGAACGATGATTACCGGCGCTGTTGCCGGACAAGTATAAATACTGAGGACACTAAGGCAGCGACAAGTATACCACCAAGAAAAAGCTTTGAAACGTAGTTAATATCCTTTGCGCCCGGCTCAACAACAGATACATCAACTTCTTTGTCTAAGGCGCGTAGAACCTCATCGGCTGTAGAGTACTGCCTTTTCCAGCAGGCTAGAATCACGTTGCCTCCTACTAGTCTCGTCACGTCTGGGTAATTTTCGTCGTTGAAAGCGTCGGCGAGCTCCCTTTCGTAAGCCAGCTTCTCCTCTATTGTTTCGGGTGCACCTGGGGTTGATCGGTAAGGCCAGTGCCCTGTCATAATGGTGTAAAACAGAGAACCAAGCCCAAATATGTCGAGAGCTGGTGTCGAAGCGGCTTCAAAGGTAGGGTGGTAGAACGGGCCGTCGGGGAGGCAGCCCCCATCTAGACCTAAGTCATCACACGTAGACCCGCCAAAGTCACACAGCAATAGATCCCGAGACCCTGCTATTGTTTCGTGCACAAGAACGTTCCTAGGGCGAAGATCCGAGTGAACAACGCCGCGGCTGTGGATATAGGAGATAGCTTCAGCCAATTGTCGGCACCATATTATCCGTTGGCGCAGGTGAATCGAAGGGAGACTGTCCATATAGGCTTGAAGATTGCTGTGGCTTGCTTTTCCAAGTAGTATCCCGCGGCCCCGTTGACCAAGATATCTGGAAGAATCAGCGTTTGCATGTGAAAACGAATGGCTATGTGTGTGGTCTTTACTTTACAATTCGCGGATGTTGTCCAAGCCTTTGGAGGATAAGCGGCTCCACAGAAAAGCAAACGTTAACCTTTTCGGCAAGTTCATCATTCTGAAAGGTAATTGGCTGTTTAAGGACAACTTCCCTGCTGACTGGCTCAATCGTACTCGTAGAACCGAGATTTTCCATTGTACGCTTGGTGAGCCGATTGGGAATTGTAGAATAAAGGGTGGCAGCAGGGGGCTGTCTGGCTCTACTATGAACCGTCGGCTTTAGGATAAACGTTGTTCCGCGTATGACCAGCCTTGTCTAGGATCCCCTCATTTCTTGGTCTACAGTCATATAAATAGTCAAGGAAATCAAGACTTGCAGTCCATGTGACTTGGTTATTTGTCATTACCAAATGCACTATTTTTATTTCTATCAACTAAACACGATGGCAAATATTCTTCCTTATTTCCGTATTCCCCAGCCCTGACTAGTGTTCTGCGTGTGAAAAGCATACTGTGAGAGTGACAACGCTAATCTCCTTTCGCTAAAGTCAGCTGGAATATCTACCAACTCGGGCACGATAACTCACAATTTCCCGGGCCACACCTAGGGCAAGTGTACTTGCCACACGTAGTCTTCACCTTACTCGAGCCCATCTGTACAATTGTCACCGTGTGACCTGGCTCACCCTGTTCTGGGCAAGGGTCGAATTTGAACGTTTCTGTCGGGCCAACCGTGCCACAAGAATAGATCTTGAAAGAGACGTAGTTTTTGCACATGATATGATAAGTGATTCTGTAAATAAGGTCTAGAGAGCTCGACTCGTAGAGTGGTGAAGAGGCGCTCAAATAATAGTTTATAGTATGTACTAGCTTGGTTATAAAGAGAGTAGGCCCGTAGCTCTTATACATGACCAAGTAGGGCGACTAGCTAATGCGAGCAGGAGAGGGGTAATTCAGCTTGGAGATACCACCCAATAGCTGTAGGACAAGTGGTTTCTATTAATAGGTGCCTAAGTGGTAAATTGTAGGAATACACTACATATGCGTATGCCACCCACCCACCTACTTCTCTGGAAAAGTGGTGTGATATGTCAGACCCTAGAACTCAGCGAGGAGCGCATCACGTCCCTGCCCCGGTTTAAGGAGGTGATTAGGGTCAAGGACCTCGACGAGAATCTGATCGTGGCCATGCTGAAAAAGGCGAAGGAGTTTTGTTGGTTGCACTTGACGATAAGAGGTGCGTGTCCATTTGAATACGAGTGAGGTTATATCTTCGTCCGATTTTTTGTCGAGTTTGTTGGATTCAGAAACGAGCAAATGATGGCACTCTCCCGCTTGTTCGGACTGTAAAGCGCTGACCGCTGTCACTGCTGGTGCAGTGGAGGAGCGTCTTTTCAGAATTCATCGCATGCTGCGAATACCATGGGACAATGTATTATAATCCATCGAAAGTCTTCTATTGGATGTATTGGCGTGTCTCTATTTGCCTGCGCGATGACTTTCTGCTGTCTGCATGGCATTATGAAGCGCCATCCGGCCATCTTGCAAAATAGACGACCGATAATATGAATCATGTCGGCCTAGCAGGTCGGCTGGACTTCCGTCTTCGATGACTCGGCCATTATCCATGACTAGAATGCGATCCATCCAGGCAAGGGAGCTAGCTCGATGAGCAATCATGATCACGGTTGTTTCCGAGGGCAGAGCTTGCCAAGCACGTTGTAGTGCTTCGTCAGATGCAAAATCAACATTTGCCGACGCTAAAAGAAAACATCAGTGGCCAGGAATACTACGCCGCGCTCAAGGCCATCACCTACCTTCATCAACTAGTAACACAGCTGGTTGCTCGAGCACAACGCGCGCAGCGCACACGAGCTGTCTCTGGCCTGCGGATAAGTCTGTACCATCAGACGACAGCTCCTGATCGAGGGCATTTTCCCCATACTTGGCCTTTAGGACACTACTCATTTGGCAAGCCTCCAATGCCGTCCAGATGTCTCCATCCGACCGTTGACGGCGCGGATCTATATTCTCTCGCAAGGTGCCTTGAAAGATGAGCGTCTCCTGAGGCAGCGTTGAGACCATGCGACGCAGCTTTCGCGGCTCAATAGTAGTCGTGTCAAGACCTGCGAGATATATTTTACCGTCTTGTATATCCACCAATCTTGATATCACAGATATGAGGGTAGACTTTCCGGAGCCTAGACAGTGTGTTAGTACCCGCACTTGAGTTTCATCGCATTGATACTTACCTGTGCGCCCGATCAAGCCGACCTTTTCCCCGCTCCTGAACGTGAGAGAAACTTTATCGAGTGCCGGAGTCTTGCGCGTCTTGTATTTCAGAGAGGCGTCTTTGATCACAATGTCAGTGCACGAAAGGCCACTGTCATCATGCCCATCAGTAGACGACGGATCCGGCTCGGGGCCCTCGCGAGGGATTCGGGCATGGTACGTTTGAAGACGCTCAACGGCGTTTAGCTGAATCTCCAGGTCTGTGCAAGCCCACGCGAGGAGGTACACTTGGCGTGCGAGAGTTGTCGCTGTGGCCAGCGCAAGGCTGGCACTGACTTGAGGAATAATGCCGTTGAGCGTCAGTATGACGAGGACCAGTAAGACGGAGGCTGCTGTCAACTCAGCGCGAAACGTGATCCACGTGTCAAGTGACTGTCGGCAGATTTTGGCAGAAGCGAGACGGTCTAGAGCTTGGCCATGACGAGCGATGAGGAACGATTCCGCTCGATATGCCCTTACTGACGAAGCAGCTTTAAGTGATTCTGTTACCATAGACAAAGCAGGTGATTGAAGGACGGCGTCCAGCCGCTGGACTTCGCGAGCCGTTCTGTCAGTTTACATTAGCATCTAGACGTCGGCGCAAATATAACTGTACCTACACTCTGAATCTATGCAGGCAGTAGCCAACGACGAGCAGAAAAGGGAAGATGACAGCGGTAAGAAATACACCGCTTGCAGCAACAATAGACACGGAGGCGAGCATTGTGGTGCCAGCCCCGAGCAGCCCATCCACAGCATTCATGATTCTACTATCCATGGCCTCTATGTCTTTGGAGAGCCTGTTGAGAATACGACCTGTGGGGTTCTGATGGAAGAACCAGAGCGGTGCGGCGATGATATTGGACAGGATGGTTTCATGCACCGCCTGTGCGGCTCTCAGGCTGGTACGGACAAGCGTCAGACCGACAACACCTGCGTTTGCCATTGTTAGTAGGGATACCGCTCGGCTTTCCCAATGCACACGTACTAGTAACAAGGCCTTGCAAAAGCGTCAAGCCCAAGAAACTGCCCATGTACTGCTGCTGACTTAGTCCGATAGAGTCTGCGATCCACCACACGAACCAGTACTGAGAGAGAACCTTGCTGGCGGTCAATATGCAAGCCATGGCCATGACGAGACCGGCATACGGCCCTCCACCTGACATTGCGATGTAGAATTTGGCCACGACAAACTGTACAGCTCCCTGGGCTCTCTCCTCTTGCTGCCAGATGCCATCGATATCTCCGCCGACGCCATCCGTGACATCGTCTGCAAGCCCGACGTCGTCTCCGCTGCTCAACCCGTTGTGCGACTTGCCGCTATGTTTAGGTCTCTGATGCGATTCTTCAAGGCCTAGAAACTCGCTACTCCAGCTCTGTGCGAGAAACGCCTGCTTTGGTCCACTCCATCGTACCTTGTTGTCGTCTACGACAATCACATGATCCATCTGCGAAACAAACAAAGTATGGAGCGTGACTTGTTATGGTGTTAGCTAGTAGCACATATCTGTTTCACAGGTAAACACATACCCAGGACTATCGTCTTATTTATGGCTCTCAGAGAGCCAAACAGCTGGACGCGCACATGTGCATCCAGTGCAGAAAGTGGATCGTCGAGAAGCAAGATGTCAGCATCGGAATACATGGCTCGCGCAAGCGAAACACGCGCCCTTTGTCCGCCGCTGAGGTTGCTTCCTGATTCGCCAACGGTCGCGTCTCGCGTGCCCCCTGGTATATTTGCAAAGTCAACATTTAGTCCGCAAGCAGACACGACGGCATCGTATCGACGGGCGTCGTATCCTCTTGAGTTGTTGAATACAATATTATCTTGCAAGGCGCCGGACATGACCCAGGGATTCTGAGAACAGTACGCCACGTGCCCGTTGAGCTGGTAGCTGCCGAGCGATAAGTCCATTTCGCCCAGCATAGCCAGCAATAAGGACGTCTTACCGGCGCCATTTCGACCAATGACTGCGGTCAGTTGATTCCGCGGAATCTCCAAGCTCCCCACATCCAGAGTCGCCGCATCGTCCTTTTCATCTCTTGGCCACTCAAACGATGCCGACTGAAACGATATCGCGGAATGCCTGGCCTCGCTTCCTGCTTCAGACAGCAGCATGCGTGATTCTTGGGCAGTCAGCAAGTCGTGCACGCGCCCCAGTGACGGGCGAACAGAAAACTGCCGGGAAAACGCGAGGGAAGCCAGGGTGACTGGCTGATACAGCATCTGGAAATATGCGAGGCAAGGAAACACCACGTCGGCAGTGAGCTTGGCCCCTGACATGGCATAGGCCAAGAAGGCGGCGCATGCCGCTAGATAAGGCGTGGTTTGGTTCACGGCCGTAAACATGGCAAACGACGTCCGCAGCCAGTACCGCAGAGCTTCCAGCTGCATGGATCTAGCGCGTGTAATTTTGCGCTGGAACACGTCCTCAATGGCGGTGGCTTTGACGCCTTGGATATTGTTCAGTAGGTCGCGGTAAGCGCCAAGGCGGGCATCGTTGTGACGGACGTATCCGCCCACTGCCTGCCCAATGCGGCGACCAAGGGCGGTCTGGCCGACGAATATTACGGCCACGAGTCCGAAACCTGAAGGAGGTTAGACAGATGATCCAGTCGAAAAAGATTAAAATTTACCAAATACGCTTGTCCAGCCCATGACACCAAAGGTCAGGACAGCGATGCCCATGATCTGAAGAGGGGCGGCCCAGACATCGTGAATCTTCAGAACGTAGTTGGTCAGGAAGCTGACGTCAACAGCATTGACATTGATGACCTTGGCGGGCGGATGTGAAATCCTCGCCGCGGGCGACAAGTGCAAGCTCTTGTCGAAAATGACACTGCGCAACATGCACTCGATCCAGGCAGAGTGCACACGGCATACCTGGTCTTTGGCACGGCCGCAGAGCGTAGCCAGCAGCGTGCAGAGAACCATGGCGCTTGCCAACGACACGCTGTCGGTGGATCGGAGGAACCTGTGAAGAATGAGAGGGGCTCCTAAAGCTGCCGCGGCACTCATCATCTGTAAAGTTAGCAGAAGAAATTGCGCGAATGCAATGACGACTCCACGGAAACACACTGTCCAAGAACGCAAAAGCCCGTCTGAGCCTCATACCTCTAAAGCGCCACCAAGAACCAACATCCCTCCCGTATCAAACTGCAACAGAAACGCTGCAACCCCCCCATGCTGCCCTCTCAGAGCGCCAAAGACTCTGCGCAGAGCGGCAGCCGACTGGTCAAACTGAGGCAGCCAATCTTCTTCAATGGTTGTGGCTTTGTTGACTCTGGAGATAAGCGAACCTATCCATAGTTGGGCGGGAGAAAGGAAGAACAATGATGGAGCCACAAAGCCGGGCGCGAGGGGCAAGTATTCGGGCGAGGAGAAGCCAGTTGACGCGAGAGCTCGCCAAAGACGGCGTCCAAGAGCGGAAGCCATGCTGCGATACCGCTACAGAGCAGCAGTGCGTATTTTCTTCCCACGCAGCAGCACACTTAGCTTTTAAACCAAGACAAGTCCAAGAGTAGGTGTAGTTGAAGTGCCGGCCCGTGGTTTGGTGCGAGCTGTTAGTCGCAGTTTTTTTTTTTAATTTGGGAACCAAAGCAGCCTGGATAATAGGGCTGGTCATATGTCACGTATTCTACGGAGTACGGCGAAAGCCTTGCAGCAGTGCGATCAGGCTGCAGCCTGATTACACAAGGGGCCAGATAAAGTCAAGGAAGAGTTGAAAGTAAAGACTATACTATAGGCATTGGGTTTTAACAAGCATATTATTTTATCAGGCTTTGGAATCATCTACTCAGTTCAGTTGAAAAAGCCTTGCCGCGCTGTCCAGGCTGCCCACTAGCGCTTGTAAATCACCACCACAGTCGCCGCTAGTGCACCGGACGAGCGCCTCTGCACCCACCCCATGAGGAAAAACATCGCTGGCTGTTAGGGTTAAACGTACCTATGCACTAAAATTATAGGTCAACGATGACTTGGAAACTAGGTGAAACAGCTATTATTAATTTATAAATACTAGCTGAAAGAGCTTCTTCTTTACTAGAAAACTATATCTGCTGTATAAGTAATATAGTTATATTGAGAAAACGTCTTGCTAAAACCGTGGATGAGAACATCATTAGCGGGAGACGTGCTTCAGGCACGGCATTGAAGTCATTCAATCTGCAGGCGCGGATGGAGTATTCTTGACTCCATCTAGTGAACCCAGCTCCCGTAAAAAGGCCCAGCATCATCGATAAGGAGGGAAGCGAGCCGATCACGGGATTCCATCCTCGGGTTTCTTGGACTATGATGGGGAATGCTGCCAGGCTGGCATCCGTAGATGAACGATGAATAGATCGTGACAAGAATACAAATGGGCGTTACGAGGATTTGCAGAGGGCGTAGGCCAAACTTGATGGCAAGACCTGCAGTAGTAACTTTGTCACCTCTTCCACGTGATACTCAACGCTTGTTACTTTGCGGAGTCTTGATGCTTTGTATTCAAGAAGTGTCGGCGCATAGGTTTCATCGATGAAGAAAAGACCAATCAAAAATATCGTCACCTATAGAATGCCGTGATCTTGGCGACTAAGTTAGTATAGACCCCGCTCTGCGAAGGTTCATGGGAGACTACATACTCAACCCATCTCCAACTAGCCTCGGAAATCACAATAATACCTCCTATCATTGGCGCAAGACCCTGTCGAGATAACAAGTCAGCGAATTAGAATCCAACACAGGCGATCTTGTTCATTCTTACCGGAATACCGGACACGCAGATCGTATATAGGGTAAATATGTTACCTCGCTCGGATGCGTTCTGCATATCAATAAATTCGCCTCCTGCGCAAGTGATAGGAGCCGCGCCGAAAACCCCGTTGAAGAAGTACGGAGTAGGGCTATAAATTTATTACTTTGTTAATGATTAGGTGTTATAACTCTTTTTGAAGGCCGATTTTATTAGCTTGTTAAGGCTAGTCTTTATATTTGTAGATGGTAACTCTATATAGCTACACCTGTTGAACTCAACCAAGGCGTCTTTGCTGCCCAAAATATGATTTTGACACCAAGTACTTCGTTAGCATATTTGACAAACTCTGTCTTTGTATATCTGAACCCAGTCTTGGGGTTGGTGTAATTTAGGGTGGGCTCCTGAACAGACATGACCGTGATAGGCAGACTATTGCGATACTCGGCAATAAACGGATACGAGTTTGCCACTTGCCCTGGCCTGTATGGAGCAAGATCAGGTCCCCCAGCACCAACGCAGTGCGATGCAAAGAATTCAAATGACTTGGTGAAGCGGCCATTGGTGTTGTTCCATCCATCGGGCCAAAAATTAACGTACTGTACGGTAAAGGTCTTGTTGAATACACTGGCTGCGTATCCTGCATTTTCCAGCTCACCGAGAAAGTAGCCCTCGTGTGTGTAGTTATTTGCCTGCGTATCAACCTCGATGGAAGTTTCCGCGAGATTGAGGCCGTAGATCTTGCCATTCAATTCCTCGGCCATGGCCTTGAGCAGTGCCTGGAATCTCTCTCGTACCCGAGGATTCCATTGCTGTGCAACCCATCCGTCTATTTTGAAGTGTTTATCGCATGACTCGCCGTCGCATTGCGGTGCACTGCCGTTGTTGTAATGATTTGTTTTCATGTACCTAGGTACTGGGTCGAGTTGTGGGCTGAAGGATCTGTCTTGAAGCTGAATCCAAAACTTCTTACCCTTAGCCTGCACGCGCTGCATGTCGTTCCTGATCTCGCGAAAGTCGTATTCGCCTTTATTTGACTCGAGAGATTTCCAATTGTAGAGTACTTGGGCACCTGCAATATCCGGCCTGTTGAGAACATTCAAGGCTCTTTCATCAATCTCGCTAGTGTAGAGCCAATGCTCAAGGGGGGTCTCAGGAGGTATGACGGTCGAACAGACAAGCATATTCTCTGTAGTGGTGGTGGTGGTGGTGGTGACAGTAGAGTGAGTCGTTGTGTATGCTGAGCTTGCCGCTTCATGGCAGGCGTTGCGGTTGTTCAAATTGGTAGAGATAGCAGATGCAGTGGTCTTGTGCAATACTTTAGCATCGTCCTCGGCCCTCTCATCAATAGAATCAAGGCGGTAATCATCTCTCTCGTAGTTGGGATACTGATGAGCGATGGCTAATAAAGCCGCTATAGCTATAAAGAGAATCAAGGCACGATTCATCATCACACAACAACCACAAGATCGTGGGTGTTAGACTCTAAAACGGATTTAGGATTAGGGAAGGCGAGGTTTAGTTATATACTTCGGGGGCATAAGAGCTAGAGTGATGTGGAAAATATTGTGACTGGACATGAGCAAATTAAAGTCGTGCATCAATCTCGTATAGTAAGTTCCGTATACGAACTATTGCCAAGACCCCTAAGTCTACATTATGCAGAGTATTAATTTAAGGCTGAGAGGGATCTAAAGTAATTCTAAGGGCCTACCTAGCTAGTATATGCCTAGAAACCAATAGAGTACCTATGGTCGTACTTTAGAGAAGAGAAATACACCGACTTTTGCGATATCACCAACTATATTTGGTATAGTCGCAGCAGTATAGTAGACTACTCTAACTCTCATATAATATACTACTTATATTTAGAGACTAAATCTAGAATAATACCTCTCTTCTTAACATGATTTTAGGGTATTACTAGAAGAATCTTTATATATTACTACTACTACTAACTAATAGTTAATACTAAGATGTTACGAACGCTGCTGCATGGATGCGGGGCTGTGCCGGACCGTCTAGGTAAGCACGCCCGCAGCCTAGTTAGAATATAAGGTCACGTGATAGCTTATTAG